AAGTGAAAGTTACCTTCTTGATTGTTTGTATTTCAGAGAGATAGTTCTCAAGGTAGGAGATTTATATTGCAAAGGGGCAAAGAAAGGATTTATAATTTCAAGCTTTCTAAGTTAACTGCTCTAAGTGGGAGTTCAGGGAACCAACTGCCTATCACCAGGTTTTTGGCTGGAACAAACAGTAAATTCCGGCAATGTGGAACCTTTTCAGGTAAGAACTTAATGGAGCTGGAGTCATCTTTTTAGGATATGGGCAAAAGATATGAACAAGTAGTTTACATAGAAAAACTAATGTAAATGTTCCTTAAGTATGGTAAAACGTATCACTGTAATAAGAGATATACAAATAAAAATTTTGAAATACGATTTCTCCCTTATTAGCAAAAATGCAAAAGATCGACCACACTCTTTGTTGGCAAGGCTGTGAGGAAATAATCACTGATATATTAGGAATTTTAGAAAATAGTTATGAATACAGCATTTAGCAATATCTCACAAAATTATACAAACCTTAGTTGTAGCTTAGCATTCTTCTATGATTCTAACCCAAAGGTACACTAACAGAAAATCAAAATGACTTGTATATGAGGCTGTTCATTGCAGCACTATTTATCCCAGAAAATTAGAAACAACCCATCGACCCATCAGGTCCAGTTGAAGGAAGTGCTACTTCTATAATGATGAAGAACTGTGCAATTGTTAGAAGTAGTAGATACATTAGTAAAGGAAATCTCATATGCTGCTGTGGAATGAGCTTAAGGATATATTATTAAACTGAAAAAGATTAAGACAATATAGTATATCCCTGTGTGTGTATGTGTATATGCATGCATGTGTGTGAGTATGTTTTGTTGTGGGGGTAGATAAAAATTAGAATTTTCAATTTTCTTTTATATTTTTCTTGAATACTTTCTTTATTAAAAAAAAAAAAATAGAAACATAAACCAAAACAAATAAATGGCTATCCAATGGGGTGGGTGGGGAAAGGGAGGGGAGAGAAAAGAGAATGTATGGAAGAAGACCTCTCGAAATGTATCTTGCCTGATAGTTTAGCATTTAGAACCATCCAGATGTTGTACATAATTATGAAACAATTACGTTTTAAAAAGAGAAAATAAAGTGATCTTCAAAAAATGGAAACAAGTGAGCCTAAATCTACATCCAATTGATGTCATAGCCATACAGAAGTATATATTCTACCATTTCTATAAGGTTTTATGTCTTAGAGTAATGGAATAATTAGACAAAATTTTCCTTCAAGAATAATCATAGTTTCTAAAAGCTACGCTAGCAAATCATCATTTTGGAAACAGTTTATCTAGGCAGTGTACATCAGTGGCAGATAAAACCATTGGGTAGAGATTTGGTGGATAAATCATAAACTTTATAATGGATAAAACTTTATAATGCTACAGCTCTACCATTCAGTCTTAATATCACAGAAAATGGTTCAGGCAGACATAATGTGCCTCCTAATAAGTGGCAATAAGAAGTACATAAGAATATTTATGAAGTATTCTTGCAACAATGACAAAACAACCTAGAAAAAATAAAGCCTCTAGAAATAATTACCAGTTTATAGGAGATAGTGGTGATAGAGGAATACCACGAAAATATACATTAGCTAAATACACGATGTGGGAAATGCTACAGGACAAACGAAGCCAACTTTTTTTTTTTTTTTTTTTTTTTTGAGACGGAGTTTCACTCTTGTTACCCAGACTGGTGTGCAATGGCGCGATCTCGGCTCACCGCAACCTCCGCATCCTGGGTTCACGCGATTCTCCTGCCTCAGCCTGCTGAGTAGCTGGGATTACAGGCACGTACCACCATGCCCAGCTAATTTTTTGTATTTTTAGCAGAGACGGGGTTTCACCATGTCGACCAGGATGGTCTCGATCTCTTGACCTCGTGATCCACCCGCCTCGGCCTCCCAAAGTGCTGGGATTACAGGCGTGAGCCACCGCGCCCGGCTGAAGCCAACTTCTTAAACAAATAAATAAATCACATAGAGTGAGGAAAGAGAATGGTGTCAGAGACTTAAAACATATTAGCTTAAGTGCAATATATCGACTTAGTTTGGATCCCAGTTCAAACCAACTGTAAGAATTTTTTTTTTTAAATATACTCAGCAAAACTTGAATATTAGCATTAGATGAAATAAGTGTTGCAGGAGTTCTTAAACTTAATAAACACCTTTTCAGAAGGAGCTTTTGAAAATATATTGATAATTGAATTTTAATATAATTGACTTATTTACAATCTTATATATTTTTATGCATCAAAAACATTATTTTGAATAGAAGTTCTGTGTTTCACCACACTGCCAGAAGGCAGGAGGAGAAGCCCATGGCTTACCCTATTTATGCCTGGTGTTCCATTATTGGAATGCTATGCTTGAGAGAGTTATTTATATCCTGCTTAAGGTCATCACCAAGGTCTGATTTTTCACACACAAATCACACAAATAAATTTTTCACACACAAATTGGGTTAAAAAGGGAAAAATGTCAAGAGCCCTTGATTTGTTAATTTTTGAGGAGTATGGGTTTTCAATCTCTTAGTACTTTTATGAAATCATAGGATTCCAGTTCCCTCGTCAAAAATTAGGGGGATAGGTGAATCACAAGGCATAATACTGATAAAGTCGGGTGATAGGTGTAGAATTCATTATACTATTCTTTACTTCTATATATGTTGAAATGTCCCATAATTTAAAAACTTAAGGCATTATATAAATTTTCAGTTATTATACCAGTAATGTAGTAGAATGCTATTTTTGTACATTCTGGGGAGCACTAGATAATATTGGTGATATTTTTGTCACCCTGATAGGTAAAGTATATTTAAGTTTTAGCTCATTTCTTTAATAACAGAGATATTCAGGATCTTTTGAATATTTTTTGACTTCGTGTTTTTCAGTTTTTATTTTAATTACACTTTTTATTGTCATTTCAAGAGTGTTATATAAATGGAGTAATATAGTTAACTTTTGGGATTGGCTTTTCTTCACTGAGCATAATTCCCAGGAGAGTCATCCAGGTTGTTTTGTATATCAGTTGTTCCTTTTTGGTATGGGCACACCAGTTTGTTTAATTATTTGCCTATTGAAGGACGTCTGAGTAGTTTCCAGTTTTTGACTGTTAGAAATAAAATTGCTGTTAACATTAATGTAAAATGTGAACACAAGTCTTCACTTATCTGGGATAAATACCCAGGAGTGCAGTTGCTGAGTTATATGATAATTGTGTGTTTAGTTTTACAAGAAACTATCAAGATGATTTTACAGAGTAACCATACCATTTTACATTCTCATCAGCAGTGCATGAGCAATCTAGTTTCAATTTACCCTTGTCATCATTTGGTATTACCACTCTTAACCATTCTGACAAGTGTGTGTAGTGACATCTCAATATGGTTGTAATTTGCATTTTCTTAATAGCTAATGATGATGAATACCTTTTTGTGTGCTTAATTTCCATCTGCAAACCTTCAGTGAATGTCTCTGTTTTTTTGCCTGTTTTCTAGTTGGATTTGGTTTTCTAATGTTTATTCGGTTTTTCTAACTGCTTAAGATACTCAGTTCATTAATTTATTTTTAGCTCTTTTTATTTGCTAATGTTACTATTTAAAACTAAAAATCTTTCTGTATACATTCCTCTTGATGCATCCCCCAGGGTTAGATGTATAGTTTTAAAAAGTATCATTTACTTCTGAGTATTTTCAAAATTCTATATGAGTTCTTCTTAAACTCATCAGTTTTTAGAAGTTTTCAAACATATTTGGTATTTAAAAACTTACCTTTTTCTTATGGTTGTTAGAGAATATGGTTATAGGATACCAGTTACATGAATGTTGAGACATTCTTTATGGCCTGGCATTTGATTAATTTTTGTATGTGTTTCATTTGTATTCTGTTTGGAAGCAATACTCTGTATATCTCTATTAAATCAGACTTACTGGTTGTAAAATCATTTCTTCTCTACCCTTAATAATGTTTTTATTTTTTTATTTTTTGAGACTGAGTCTGGCCCTGTTACCCAGGCTGGAGTGCAGTGGCACGATCTCAGCTCACTGCAATCTCCACCTGCCAGGTTCAAGATTCTCTTGCCTCAGCCTCCTCAATAGCTGGGATTATAGTCGCCAGCTACCACACCTGGCTGATTTTTGTATTTTTAGTAGAGACGGGTTTCACCATGTTGGGGAGGCAGGACTTAAACTCCTGTCCTCAGGTGATCCATCCACCTCGGCCTCCCAAAGTTGCTGGGATTACAGGTGTGAGCCACTGTGCCCAATATTTTTATTTCTTTTGTTGTTTTATTATTGTGATAATATGTTAAAAATTGTCCTCTGTGGTAATGAGTTTGTCAATTTCTCCTTGTGGTTTTATCAACATATTTTAGAACTATCTAGTTAGGTACATATAAGTTTAGATATATATATTGAGTAGAACCTTTTTCATTGGATAGTTGCCTTTATTGCTAGTAATGGTCTTTGCTCTTAAAATTTTGTTTGATATTAATATAGCAACACCAGTATCTTTACTGATTGATTTGTTGGTTGGTTGATTGAGACAGTCTCCCTCTGTTGCCCAGGCTGGAGTGCAGTGGCGCGATCTAGGCTCACTGCAACCTCTGCCTCCCGGGTACAAGTGATTCCTCAGCCTCCTGAGTAGCTGGGACTATACGTGCGCACCACCATGCCCAGCTATTTTTTGTGTTTTAGTGCAGATGGGATTATACCATGTTGGCCAGGCTGGTCTCTCACTCCTGACCTCAAGTGATCTGCCTGCCTTGGCCTCCCAAAGTGTCGGATTACAGGTATGAGCCACTGTGCCCAGCCACACCAGTCTCTTTAAATTAGTATTTGCCTCATGTATTTTTTTTTCTATAGTTTTTACTTTTAATCTTTATGTCTTTAGATTTTTAGGTGTGTTTCTTTTGAAAAGCATGTGGACTAATACTATTTCAACCTTACATAAAAATGTTTTCCATGTGTTTACAGTGCTGAAGCTGTTGAAAGATGGCAGAAGAAGTGGTGGTAGTAGCCAAATTTGATTATGTGGCTCAACAAGAACAAGAATTGGACATCAAGAAAAATGAGAGATTATGGCTTCTGGATGATTCTAAGTCCTGGTGGCGAGTTCGAAATTCCATGAATAAAACAGGTTTTGTGCCTTCTAACTATGTGGAAAGGAAAAACAGTGCTCGGAAAGCATCTATTGTAAAAAACCTAAAAGATACCCTAGGTAAGATATTTCTGCTTCTTTTTTTTCTTTTTTTGAGATAGAGTCTTGCTCTGTCACCCAGCCTGGACTGCAGTGGCATGATCTCGGCTTATTGCAACCTTCATCTCCTGGGTTCAAGCAATTCTGCCTCAGCCTCCTGAATAGCTGGGATTACAGCCATGTGCCACTGCGTCCAGCTAATTTTTTTGTAATTTTTTTTGAGACAGAGTCTCACTGTGTCGCCAGGTGCTAGGCTGGAGTGCAGTGGCACAATCTCGGCTCACTGCAGCCTCCGCCTCCCGGGTTCAAGCAATTCTCCTGCCTCAGCCTCCCGAGTAGCTGGGACTGCAGGCACACGCTATCACGCCCAGCTAATTTTTGTATATTTACTAGAGACAGGGTTTCACCATGTTGGCCAGGATGCTCTCCATCTCTTGACCTCGTGATCCACCTGCCTCGGCCTCCCAAAGTGCTGGGATTACAGACTTGAGCCACCGCGCCCTGCCAATTTTTTTGTAATTTTTAATAGAGACGGCGTTTCACCATCTTGGCCAGGCTGGTCTTGAACTTCTGACCTTGTGATCCACCTGCCTCGGCCTCCCAAAGTGCTAGGATTACAGACATGAGCCACCGTGCCTGGCTAAGATATTTCTTATTTCAAAAAAAAAAAAACAAAAAAAAAAAAACAAAAAAAAACAACAAAAAGAAGTGCTTTGTTTTAAGTGAAACCTGGAACTTAGTTCTTTGTACATAATTCTGGCAGCAGTGTACGTAATTGACTTGAAAAGGCAAGGGCTGGGTAAGTTTGACTCATAGCAGGTATTCAACCCAAAAGACAAATGAAGGTCATAAGTGTTAACATGCAGTTTCTGTAAATCTAGGCCCACACTCAAAGTCAAGCCAAAGTGGTGCTAATCAGTAGAACTAACTCTGATCTTCTAGCAGGGGCTCCTTGATCCATGAATGACTATTGGAGTTTAGACTTACAGGCAGAAGTGCCTCTTTGGCACCAAGGCACCTTATTTACATGGCACATAATGAATTTTAACATCTAATGACCTTATGTTTTGAACTTCATTTAAAACCCACCATTTTATTTTTCTATTTGATAAGAGAACTGTGGATCATTACTGTACATGAGCACCTACAGACCTCTTTCATATTTTCTTTTTTTCCCTTTATTTCTCTAAATATAAAGTTTTTGTTTTTTATTTTTACTGACCCTCCATTAGGGCCTGAGACAGTAGAGCCTGCTTGGCACTACATTGGACTTGGCTAAGCTAATAGGAAGGAAATATGCATGGGCGAGGAATGGCCTCTTCTCTTTAAAAAAGGAAAAAAAAAATTAAACTCTCCAGAGCTGACAGGAAGGAATTGGGAGGGACGGAATTTCATTTTTGGTTTTCAGACAAACATGCTATTTGCGTAATGGTTCTTTGTTTGTATGTAGAAGAAAAGTACAATTTCTCCTTGCAAAGACAGTTTGGGAGCAATATAGCATGATTGACAAATACGAAATACTACTGACTCACTACTTTACATTAGTTTTTATTTATTTATTTTTTATGGTTTTTGTAGAGATGGAGTCTTGCTCTGTTGTCCAGGCCAAACTTGAACCCCTGGGCTCAAGCAACTCTCCCACCTCAGCCTGCCGAGTAGCTGGGACTACAGATGCTCGCTACCATGCCCAGCTTAGTTTTATTCAACATTATTGTTATTCTAGAATGTTCTTCTAATTATCATCAATAAAAGACAAATATTTAAAGTTTTTAACCATTGTAAAACCACAAAAACTAAAATATAGTACAATTTGGAGTAAGATATAAAGTAATCAATTATCAGTTTCTGACATAAAAAAATATTTTCAGTGTTCTAAAGGTAATTAAGTAGATATAGTCATGGTCATATTTAACTGCTGAGGTAACTTTTTTAGTACTTTTCGGGTTTTGCCATTAAGACCATTATTTTTAGTTTTTCAGTGGAAGACAAATCAGAGATTTTCCTTCAGTAGCAGAAGAGACCAGGGTTAAAACCAGGAATACTTCCGGTTTTGTAAATACTGCACATTTATTTAAAGCATGTTGATTAGAGATATTGGGTGAAATTAAGGTAATTTCTGTCAAGAAAGTATGCCCCATAGTGATAAGTGCACAGGGTACTAGAATATACTCAGGTAGACTCTTTTGTTCCGTTTTAAAAGGACACTGGTATCTTGGGACTAGAGTGAATATGACAGTAATTAACAAAATATAGTGAAAAAAGTAATATCATAGAGTAAAGGGAGGAAATATCCCAGTATTAGATATTACATATATAAATCTAAAAGCCCATTTAGATATAATTTTTATTGTTTGCTAGTACTCCAGGGATGGCTTCTATACTACATTCTGTTACTGAGACAGTTTTATCAAGGTTTTTAACTATTTAAGTCTTAGGAAATCTCTGTTAACTTTATTACTATATTACAATTATTGCTACAAATATTCCAAGGTGCTTGGAAACATTTTTTTGGGTTAGTGATCTGTAGTTAGCCTATAAAGAGGTGTAAGTCCAGCGTTTGCATTAGATAGCCTTTTTCTTTTCTTGTAATTTCTGCACCCGTTTGGTAAGTTAAATGTCCAGTGTAATTAATCGATTTGTTTCACAGTGGTTGTGCTGGTAGAGACATTGTTTGAAAGTTGAGAAGGAAAAGAAGAAAACAAAAGGATTAATGCATGAATATATTTTAGTACTAAAAAGTGTATATGCTTTACAGCTTCTTCCAAAATAAGTCTAAATAATAAGGTCCTATTTTTGGCCATCATTATTTACTTGTTATACAGGCTGTGTTATAATTTAGAGGAAAAAAAGTTTTGGAAAGAGAGAAGCCTCAGGAAAACTTTCTATTGCCTGGGTGTGGGCCAGGTCACATGGATTGGGTGTGGGAAGTTTCAGTGTTGCAGAACAGACCAGGAAGCTCACTGAGAATTATCCTGAGCTGTGTCTAACAAACTGACAAAAGAGAACACGGAATTTTTCTTCAAAATGGATTGGTTAAACGTCTTTAAAGATTTTTTTAGTAAGTTAATCTGTTTATTGTTAAATCTATTGTTTTCTTACAGTTGTGAATTAGATTTTCTGCTTTTGTAAATTTAAAGGAAAACTTTTTGGTGGGTTTATGTAAGCTAGTATATTATGCTTATGTAATATAAACCAAACGATTGGTGATACATCCAAAAATTGTAGTTTTGACTTGGTAAAGTAAAATAATTTTAAAATGTTTAACATGAATGTTTAACAAGTAGAGAAAGAATATAATTGGTTTGGGTTTGATGCAGTTCTAATTCAGTAACTTTCAACTTGGCACAGACATTTGAAGTGATTTAAATAAATTGTAAACATATTAAAAACATTAGAAAAAAGGATTAGATGAACAGATTTCTTCATGCTCAACTTTTGAGTTAACATTCTTTTTTTTTAATGACTTTTAACTTTTTTTTAGAGGAACAGTGTAAAGATAATCTTTAATAAAAACACTAGTAAAGAGAATGTTTTTAGTTAATCAATATAGTATTACTAGAAATTGATGTTTTGATGAATGCGAGAGTTGATATTTTTGATATGAGTTACGAGAACAGCTGTACGACAAAGAGGAATATAGTGAATTCTTGACTGTTACTGAGTTTGGGTCATGAAGTCGTACTAATAATAATTTATAGAGCCTAATTCTTTTGGTTCTGCTGGTGGCCTCCTTATGATCTTATCATAGTGAACTTGATTTGAATTTCTTGAACGTTTGCTTGGTGTTTCTACAAAAATGAACAGAGAATTATTAGAGAAGTCTCTTATGCAAAACAAGCCTAAGGAAACAAAGAGTAACCTGATGAGAGATTCCAGAGAAAAGGGCAAAGGAGAAAAGGAGTAAGCACTTGTTGAAAAAGAATATTGTAATTGTAATATGAAGACTCACTTGTTAGCTTTAGTGTGTCCCTCTGGAATATGTCTCTTCCGTTTACTTTTTGGGGAGTTACTAAAATTTCAGATCTTTGCATTTTCATTTTTTGGGTGAGTTTTACCTTTGAAAAACTTATTTGCTCATTCATTTGTTCAACACATTCTTATTGAGAGCCTTCTCCAAGCCAGGCAGAAATCATAGGGTGAAAAAATAATACTAACTCTTGCAAATCCTACATTCTGGTGGAAAGGTGTGGGATGATTGTTATTTATTAAAAACACAGTGAATTCCATATCTAGGTTTAGTCATAAGCCATGTTGACCATAAATCAACCAGAAATAATATAAAGGAATCCATTGTGGCCAAGAGTAGCTGCTCACACCTGTAATCCCAGCACTTTGGGAAGCCAAGGTAGGTGGATCACTTTAGGTCAGGAGTTTGAGACCACCCTGGTCAACATGGTAAAACACTGTCTCTACTAAAAATGCAAAAATTACCTGGGTATGGTGGCAGGCACCTGTAATCTCAGCTGCTTGGGAGGCTGAGGCAGGAGAATCACTTGAACCTGGACATGGAGGCTACATTGAGCCAAGATTGTGCCACTGCACTTCAGCCTGGGTAACAGAGCAAGACTCAGTCTCCCCACTGCACTTCAGCCTGGGTGACAGAGCAAGACTCAGTCTCCCCACTGCACTTCAGCCTGGGTGACAGAGCAAGACTCAATCTCAAAAAAAAAAAAAAAATCCGTTGTGTCATTGATAAATTCAATATATATCATCGATACAATGGTAAAATTATTCTTTCTACTGAGTCTTAGGAAGTTGATAGTTAATGCATCTGCAGACCGAGAAACAGGATTTGAAATTGCAACCAAAATGTTCCTTTGCCCAATCCCTGTAACAACTCCAAATTTTTTCTTTATTTTGCCAGGCAGTTTGTCAGAGTAGAGACAGGCTATTGATCTACTTCCATCTACTTCCTCCCTGAATGAGCTTACAAAGTAGAAGAAACAGAGTATTACGTGCTCTTTGTATGGTAGCCAGAATATTTTTGAAAACAAAAATTGCACAATGTTTTAAATAACACA